ACATATATATATATACATATAATAAGATAAAGGCAATTCAATTTATAAGTCAATTCAAAACAAACATCATAACTAAAGAAAATAATTACAATCTTACAAAAAAGTGTACAAGGAACCCTCTAACACACCTGGTCATTAAGGACACCTGGCAGAATTTTCAATCTTTCAGCCACCATCTCCTTGAGTTGTTCCGGAGATGAGACTGGGAGTGATGAAAGGGTGATGGAGTGTCGCAATTCCGTCGTCATGAGGTGTGCTAAGTGTAAGTCTGCCACCACTGAGTATAAGACCACACGCAGACTCAGCTCCTCCAGGGATTCTATGTGGTGTCTTTTTCGAGGTGCCATCTGCAAGGGACCATCAACATTACTAAAACATAGCTTTGCACATTGCTGGGAAAGATGCTTGCTTGGAGGAATATGGAAGGGTGGGGAGGGAGGTAGGTAAGTGTATGTATGTATATAGGCATATGTATGCATGTATGTATGTTGGTAGGTAGGGGTATAGGTATATTAAGGTAGGTAGCAGGTAGGTAGGTAGTAGGTAGTAGTATAGGTAGGTAGGTAGGTAGGGGTAGGTAGGTGGTAGGTAATAGGTGGATAGGTGGAGGTGGAGGTAGGTAGGTAGGTAGGTAGGTGGGTAGGTAGGTAGGTAGGTAGGTAGGTAGGTAGGTAGGTAGGTAGGTAGGTAGGTAGGTAGGTAGGTAGGTGGTAGGTGGGTGGGTAGGTGGGGGTGGGTGGGTGGTGGGTGGGTGGGTGGGTGGGTGGTAGGTAGGTAGGTAGGTAGGTAGGTAGGTAGGTAGGTGGTAGGTAGGTAGGTAGGTGGGTGGGTGGGTGGGTGGGTGGGTGGGTGGGTGGGTGGGGGTGGGTGGGTGGGGGTGGGTGGTGGGTGGTGGGTGGGTGGGTGGGTGGTGGGTGGGTGGTGGGTGGGTAGACAAACGAATAGACAGATAAAAAGGCTGATAGCAGGGAGAGAGGGAGGGAGAGAGGGAAGGAGGGATAGGTGCGTGCATGCATGTGTGTGCGTGTTTGTGTGTGTGTGTTTTGTGTGTGTATGTGTGTGTGTGTGTGTGTGCATGTTTATATGCTGGGGTGTTTGTATACATGCTTTGTTCATTATGGACCAGCATACACAATGGAGTGTGGATCAGAAATACATTCTTATCATTTTGGGTATATAATTCATGTTACTGGCAATATAGATTTTAGATTAAAGTTATAATGATAAGTATATCTATAATTACCGAAATCACTTTAAAAAGTACTTTGGAAAAAATTAGTTTTATACAGCAAAAGCTCACCTGAAATTCAATTAATTACATATTACCTCTCCTGCTGATCCTGCTCTATATCATGTCAACCTTCTGCCTTGCCCTAACCAAAATTTCTCCAAAGCTCTTCCACTGCCTTTCCTCTGTTCATGTTAACCCGTTGCCGCCGGGTGGCACGTACGTACATGCCATGGCTGTTTTGGACCAAACACCGGGGGCATCATGTCATGCCCATTCCCACGCTACTGGCTCGTCAGACGGAGGTTGTTTTTCTCCGATAGTAGCCGCTTCATTTATATGGTAAAGATTTTAGGCAATGGCACCTATAATGAAGGTAAACCTTCAAAATTTTAATATTTTTATAAATCAGCAAAATAAAAGCTTTTAGGTGCTATAAGTCGCTCACAAACTACCGATCGAGCTGGGCGCAAACAGGAGAAACTGCCGGTGCGCGCCAACAAGCCTGTGCATACGTCAACTTGCCAAAATTTTTACCTGTCGGCGATGGGTTAATACCCTTGTGAAAAAAACATGGATGGACCTTTCCCTACATCCTAAACAGCCACCAACCTGCTATCAATCTAACAGCTGCTGATGAGCTATTCATCACTTGTGACACTACCTTTTGCCCTGCTATTGTTTCTTCAGTCTGGCCATAGGAGACGATAATAACAATGGCACCGTATGTTGATAAGACAACTCTCTGACAAGCAACAAAGACTTACCAATGGAAGAAAGTAACAGCAATGGCTTTGATACAATCCGAGATCTGCTAAATCCAAATGTGTGTTTGTACACACACATGTCTATACAGACTTGAAAGGGAGGTCAAATATATACAATGGCAGAATGGCAAGTACCTGACATATGGTTGTATCACTGAGGCCAACAATGCAATTATTTTGTTGCATATTATTGTCATCTGCTCAAAATATCATTTAATGAGTTGAAACAAGGTAAAGTTCAAGGCTCATCGAAGATGGTTTGAAAGAATTACATCATGAAGTCTACTTTCTTAGTGTTTCATTACAGATTTTTCAAAACATTAAATCTAGAAAACAGCATATTGACCCAACCCTTGCTCTGCCTAACCGCCGCCGCACTACTGCAGATCAAGTTGTTATTCTTTCCGGTGCACAGCATGTGTTTGCAACCTCATTCCTAATCCTCATTCGAAAGATTTTGTCCTGCAAATCTTACAAGACGATAGGAACCATCAACCCCGAAACACGTACATTTCCTGTCGCTCGGCCACTCTTTCCCCTCCAAAGACAATAGTCTCATTCCATAAGTACCCTACTATCAGCCTCTCTCTTACAGTTTCAAGCATAATAGTTAACTTATTGAGTTAATTCTATCATAATGACCCAAGAGTATACGATTTTTACCTTTTTAAAGCACGTGAGAAGGGAATCTTCACTCAATGCTCCTTTTCCTGTTTACATTCTGATATACGCGTTCGAAGCTGCTTTTACTCTGACTTCTCGCTTATAGATTTTTTATACAAAAAAGTCTGCAGACAAATACATCTTATTTTGATATGTCTTAAAAGCTAATTCTATTAGCTTTTGAAACGTATGCAGTTAACTGGTGGTAAATTATTGATTTTTTTAAAACAATAGCAGTCAAAGTCGAAGCCAGAAGAGAAAGTTCGAACCAAAAATATAACCCATATGCATATTAAGTATTTTGGTAAAGAATGTCTTATAAAGATTTGAACAAAATCATTAACATGTCTTTTGTTTCAGTAAATTTATTTATTCGCCTTTACGCGTTTTACGTGAAAAGACAGATGCATTTGCATGTCTTTCAGTTTTCTTGAACTATTCCGCTAAATAATTACACTATCTTCATCTAACTGGGTATGGAAATATATAGCCTGCTATCTGTTGTTATTAATTTTACATTTCTTAATAACAATTTTACGCGCGAATCGCAACTTTTCGCAGATTTTTAGTTATGATTATCTAAAATAGATGGCGGTGCTAATGGTGTTAAAGTCGTCTGCTCGTTTCGCTTTTGTGTCGGGTACTCTCTCTCTCTCTCTGCTTTTTTTTTCTCAGTCAGAGCTTATTTTTCATCTTTGGGTCAGGGATCGTCTTTGATATTATGTTTGCGTTTTTGTTATCTTGCAATATATTTTTTTGCTCTTTTTAGTCGTAATATTTCGTTCCTCACAATTCTGTCCTCGCACACCCTGTATTCAATGATAATGGCAAGATTATTATTAAAATAACCCATAATACATAAATACTACATCCAGATCAATCGGCCAAATAAAAATGGTGCACTCACTAATCTAAATACATTGATTAATTGATATAGTAATAAGAATGGTAATTTTTTACAATAGTTCCGCATAACAGATCACGACGATTTTGGTATCGTGATTCGATGGATTCCTCTCACTCTCTAGTAAGGTATATAAGTATATAGACCTTGTTCTCTAGTATCCATATTTATATAAAAATAATATTGCGCGGAAATCTCCCCATACCCCCATATCCTTGGCTCCAATAGCAGAGAGTGCATGGAAGGCACCAGGGAAATAACGGTACAACATGAATAACATACAGAATCAGTCACTATACTTTGCCCCATGAAGCCGCCCCGAAACCCCGGCAATGGAACACAGACATCTTCACGTAGTCACGGCGGGAGGCCTGATGTGGGAGCGCCCGGCCTACATGCGGGGGCGCCCGAAGCTCTCTCATGGAAGATTCTTTGTTTTCCTGGGCGGGGCTTGGGGGGGGCGGCTGCAGGGGTGTAGCCCTTGCATTAGACAGTACAGTGACTGATTCTATCGGCCGGTTTGTTAGTATTGTGCGAGGCCCGATCCAAAGAATATTCGTATACTTGACATGCCTAAATAAAGAAATAAATGCATATTCATCAATCTAGACATGCATATCATCAACCCGGCAAATAGATGGTTAATTGTATATCTATCAGATATATAGACTTGCCTTTATTCCTGCGTCTGTTTTTATGAAAATTCGTTGGGTCGGGCCTGGCACAATTTTAACAAACCGGGAGTATGTATATTATTCATATTTTACCCCGCAATCTCCCTTTCATGTCCTCCCCTGCTAATATGGCTAAGATTGTCGCTAATGGGGGGGGGATAATTTCTATATATTTGTTAGATAATATAGTAAGAATACATCGATACCAAAATCGCCGCGATCAGTTATGCAAAACTATTGTGTAAAACCACAATATAAATATATACATAATGTTGAGTGAATGTGATAGATAAAGAGTGCGAAAAAGCATTGCAGTTTTGAGGAACAAAAGGTATTATCGGAGTTTAAACGCCTGAACTAGCCATGTGCTCGTACACAGATGGCGCTAGTTATTTTTCAGTTATTTTCATTTAATAATCTATGTATCATTTAGTCGATGTATTTGTTTATTTTTTTGCTGCCGTAAGAGTAAAGACTATATAGGAAAGATTGTCTACGAACGGCAAGGTCTGTGTACATCTCTAATCAATGTAAGGAGCTGCGCCTTCGAGATATAGTCTAATCTCGGCGCCATTTTGATTTTCAAGTGTGCCAAAATATAAAGGAAATTATGAAAAAAACACTTATTTTACATCCGAGATTTTATTTTATATTCGTATGACACACACACACACACACACACACACACACACACACACACACTCTATACTAAAATATAAAGGAAATTATGGAAAAAAACACTTATTTTACATCCGAGATTTTATTTTATATTCGTATGACACACACACACACATTGAAAATGCACGAATATGCGATCGAATGAGAGAAGCATAAATATGATGAAACTGCAAAAAATGAGATGCGAAAGAAAGAGAAAATGAAAATAGATATAGAGAGTGTGAGAGATGATGAGGAAAAATGAGAAAGAATACGAAAAAGATTTTGAAGTGAGAAACAAAGAGGTAAATACTGAAAATGGAAGAGACTGTTAAACGAAAGAAAGTGAAATAATACGATATATTAGAAATAATGTAAAAAAAGACGAGAAGAGAAATGTGAGAAGGAATGAGAGAAAATACGGTAAATTTGTAGACTGTGGCATTTATCATAAGGTGTAAATTTTCAGCGTTATTTACAAAATCTTATGGCAGTGATTTTGGTAGATTAAATTAACTGAATTAACTTATACATTTCCTGCGCGTTACAAAATTACATTCGGTCACTTCCCCTACTTTATTTTTGCAAGCATTTTTCTCTTTTCTTTTCTTTTCTTTCGGGAAAGGTCCGTTCGGTATTCATTTCTTATGTCAGCAGAGAGTACCGTCCTTCCATCCCTTCAAATTGAGACCAAAGTCAGTTCTTTTACGGCTGTTACAAGCCTATGCATAAAAAAAAAACAGTGTTAGGCGGACGGAGGGACCCCAGACGTAACTCATTTTCCGCATTTTACCCATTTTACCGCATTGGAATAATGTATATCTGTATCTCATGGTTAGAATATAAATCTTACAACTCCATTGGTCTTTCCTTGACAAATTTATTTTCTCAACAGAGTGCAATTTTTGTGTGCAGACTTTTCGTCGACGAACTATTGCCCGAACGGCTATATCGTCGACTTCAGGTGATGAGAAACTATCGAATGACGTGTGGTTCGAATGACGTGTGGTTCGAAGACGAGCGCTGACGTGCCTGTACGACGCGATGCTTCTACTTATGCAGTTCATGTTCTTTTGGGTTCTTTCTCATACCGTTCCACTAACTCATGTCCGTGCTGCGTCCAGAAGCCAAGCAATACATGGTAGAATTTTTGAACTTTCAGGCAGAGGCCAGATCTGAAACCGGGTGTGGCAGTTTATGGATAGTCTTCCAGTGGCCGGAGCCATAGTGGGAACTACGGCCTTGCAAGCTTGGCACTGCACAGTAATCGTGCTCCCAACATTCACATCAAATTAGTGCGCGTTCATGCCTTCCAACCTGTCGGTAAGATTGCTAAGGCACTTGTCGAACGGCCGCCAACACTCGATGGAGGCAATAACGATCTGTTCATCGAGTTTTTCGGCGTTATTCAGCGACGCCCGACATCCGACATAGGCATGTGGAATATGATGCAGAGGGCCACAGAAGGCCTACTTACGACAGCAAATTCTTCAGAGGGCTGTATCGGAGGATTCGAACGAAAAGTGTATATCACCCACAGACATTTCACCGACTCGCCATGAAACAACGATTTTTTTTTTAATAAAAGTCTCAGAAAATCAAATTAAATCACTGACTTTACCGTAAAATGAGAATGATCACTGTAAACTTATATGCAACCTCCATCAGTTTAGCCTTAAAGTTCAGATAATCACTTGCCGTTAGTATCAATAACCACGGGAATAAGCATTGACAGGGACAGAGTACATGCATGGTTGTATAATTCACAATGACAATAGTATAAAGTGGGACATATTCCATGATTCTCGAATTTTGCTTATTTCAACAATCTATGATAGGGCACCAGACACTACATAATTTTGAGTACAGGACATAGAGCTCTTGGAAAAGGGAAAGCGGGTTAAAAAACATCAAAACTAATTTATGGCAGCATGACAACAGTGAAAAAATATTAAAGACAGATTTAAAACTACAAATTAAATCCTTTCAGCGACTTCTAGAACAGGATGGCGGGAACTAATCCTAGGATAGTGGACCTGTCGTTATTCTAGGGTTGTTTTTACTTTAACAGAATAGGTTTTGATATTTTGTTACGGGAATGATGCTTCTCAATCGTTAATTTTGATTTAAGGAACCACGTGAGAGAGAGAGAGAAAGAGGGAGAGAGAGAAAGAGGAGAGAGAGAGGAGAGAGAGGGAGAGAGAGGGAGAGATAAGAGAGAGAGAGAAAGTGAAAGAGAGAAAGAGAGAGTGAGAAAGTGAAAGAGAGAAGGAGAGAGAGAAAGAGAGAGTGAGAGAGAGAGAGAGAGAGAGAGAGAGAGAGAGAGAGAGAGAGAGAGAGAGGAGAGAGAGAGAGAGAGAGAGAGAGAGAGAGAGAGAGAGAGAGAGAGAGAGAGAGACGAACAGGATCCTCATTCCTGTGGTAGAAGTTGGAAACCGCTGTCTTGCATTTTTTTTATTATTATTATTCTCTAGGATAATGGACGCGAGTTTGCGAAAGAAATATATTGGAATTTGGTCAAGCTTCTAATCTAGGGATAGATATTCATTTTTTCCTACTCTAAAAAGAAACCTTCGATATATGTTTGCCAGGACCATTTTTCCTTGA